ATTTAATAATGAAAATAAAAGCAATAAAATGCACAATATTTGTCAGTAATCTAATATAAACGAGTAAATTAGTTGTTTACTTCCACACGTTAATTGTTTTCCTCCACACGTGATGTCCTGTGGAATATCAAGCTGGATAACAGACGTTGTCGAGTTTTGCATAAATTCATTAGTTTTGGTTTTGTCAGAGAAAAATAGCGACTTAAATATATTAAATTTTTTTTCTACTATATATCATATACGCTATAAAGTACTCTATATTAAATTTATTTTAATAATTTGTATAATTATTATTATTATATTATGTTGAAAACAAGATTGTAGTTTTTTCCAGCTTTCTTTGATGAATAAAAAGTTTAGAAGAGCAGCATTTATCTAGCGTAGAATTTTTTGTGTCATAATAACCATATTTATCATCACTTGATCAATTTAAACATCTTTGTCTAACTAGAAGTAATAATTTAACAAAAAATATGTCTAGCTCTTAAATGGTGCGTATACAAAGCTTTTTATTTCAGATAAATGCTGATCTTTCGATTCATTAAATATTACTGATATAAATACTCTAAATAGCTGAATAACTGCTAATAAATATTGATGATGCTAATTATATATATATATATATATATATATATATATATATATATATATATATATATATATATATATATATATATATATATATATATATAATAATCAGGGGCGGACTTAACCAATAAGCAAGATAAGCAACCAACCAATGCCAAGAAGCCTATATTAATCATCCTGAAGCAATTTTATTATCATATGTAACCAAATCTGTCTATAATCTTTAAGATTTTAACGTTATTATTTTCTAAACCAGAGATCATTTCTAAGCCCTGGGAATGGTAAAACTTTCCTTCTGTACTGCACATGCAAATATTAAAATCTAATCACAAGTATGACTAATTAACTGTATAGTTTGCGAGTTTGCTTTTTATTCTAAATTAAGAAGGTTCCACTTAAAATATATTTTAAACTTGCAGTTTATTAACTAAATCTAGAGAGAAAACAAATATCTGAGAGAGAGAGAGAGTTTTGAGTTTCAATTATAGGGCCTCTAAATCACTAAGTCCGCCGTTGATGATAATAATAAAACCTTTCTTGAGCTGCATATCAGCATTTTTTGGATCATGTGACTGACGTAATGAGCCTAAATAATCACAGGAATTAATTACATTTTCAAATATATTTACATTTGAAAAGTGTTTCGCACTTTGCATCAAATAAATACATTTAATAAACTTATAAATTAAGCTTTTTTATCTTTAGTACATTTAAATAGTGAGATGTGTATAGTTGTACTCTCACAGTGCTTTTTAAAATAAAACAGTACTGCCATGTGTGTGTGTGCGAGTAGTTCCAGAAGGCATGCTCAGTATTAACCCTAATCACGTGAGACTGATAATCTAGGTTGAGCAATAGTACAAAGCATGTGGACTTTCTGAACTATTTACGTGCTGGACGCCAAGATTTTTGTCAATATTTCAGTCAATAATTTGTAGACTACTTGCAAAATATCTGTTAAATGTGTGACTTCACGTGTGTGCTACTGCAACTTAAGTCTTTAAAGGATCTCTTTTTATGCTTGTCATTTTCTGTGAGAAGCAGAGACTTTCTGTTCACTTGACGCACATTAATCTATGAGATATCTGACATTGATCGACTGTTCAGATTACACTTAACATTCATTTAAACATTTAAATGTATTAATAGCAAATCCGTTTGCAGTTCTTACATAATGTGATTGACTAGTCAAGCGCACAGCTGAATTATTACAACAGAGGTATTTTAATATGTGCGACTATACAGATTCTCTCTACTCTTCATACTCATTGTACTGTAGCCCCTCCTTCTCCTGTCCTGTAAACATGGTTAACTGTACCCCCCAGTACCGTATTTGTGAACCTGTTGAACTAACTGATAACACAGTCCAAACATCAGATCACTGAATACAATGGTGTAAAATAACTAACTATACTCAAATCACTGTAATTCAGTAGTTTTTCTAAGAAATTGTAATTTAGTTAGTAGTTTTAAAAATGTGTGCTTTTACTTTCCATTGAGTACATTTTTAGTGTAGTATCTGTACTTTTACTCCACTACTTTCCTTCAACCTGCAGTCACTACTGCAGGCTCAAACCAGCGACCTTCTTGCTGTGATGCGACAGCACTACCTACTGCGCCACTGCATCCCCTATGGTGCATCTGTTAATCTGCTTATTAATACAAATGTCTAATTTGTAATCATGTGGCTGTGACATTTATTCAGACAAGGTCAAGATGATCTTCTGAAGTTTACTCCGAGCATCAGTTTGGGAAAGAAAGGTGATTTAAATAACTTTAATTGCATACAATGGTTTTTGGTTGATCAGATTGTAAGGTCAGAGGTGTAAACAGCATGAAAACATGGACCCTTGTATTGACAGTTCAGGCTGGTGGTGGTGGTGTAATGATGTAGCAGGGTATATTTTCTTATGTTCTGTTGGGAATGTTTTCATCCACTGTGGGGTGCTTTTGAGTCTTAATTTGGCCACAACTTTCTCTGTTTCAGCAAATTGAAGGACTTTTGTTTAAATTTGGAATTTGTTGATCATCCGCTGGCATTACCCCTTTAAGATGATAAATAAATAAGTTAAATAAGCTTAGTTTCTGTGTTTTATATAAGTGGTACAACATATTATAGTGTGCTTGTGTGAGTGAGAGTGAAAACTTTGCGCACTTACCTTGATGCATCTGAGAAATCAAAATATGCACTTCAGCTCTCAGAACTACATGGAGTAAACAAAAACAAAGCAAGTGTTTTTATTCACAGGCTTATCTAAAGGGTTGCCAACTGATGATCAGCAGTAAATATGACTTATTTTACCTCTTCCCAACAGGGAAAATTACCAGCAATCAAGAACGCATGGTTATATTGTGTCATGGCATTGCAATGAAATTCAAGTCAATTCAATTCACCTTTATTTGTAAAGCGCTTTTACAATGTAGATTGTGTCAAAGCAGCTTCACATAGAAGATTTTAATAAATTGAAACAGTGTAGTTCAGTTTTCAGTGTTTAAGTTCAGTTCAGTTTAGCTCAGTGTGGTTTAATGTTCAACGCTGAGAGTCCAAACACTGAGGAGCAAATCCATTGATGCGCCACAGCGGAATGAACCGACAACTTATCCAGCATATGTTATACACAGCGGATGCCCTTCCAGATGCAACCAATCACTGGCAAACACCCATACACTCTCATCACACACAAACACTATGGACAATTTAGCTTACCCAATTCACTTATAGCGCATGTCTTTGAACTGTGGGGGAAACCGAAGCACCTGGAGAACATGCAAACTCCACACAGAAATGCCAACTGACCCGGCTGAGGCTTGAACCAGTGACCTTTTTGCTTTGAGGCGACAGCTCCACCCACTGAGCTGCCACCTTTTTAATATTAGTTTTAAATTTATTTGTTGTATTTTAATTTTTTTAGTCCTTTTTTCTCTTTTTGTCCAGTTTTTATGTATTTACTTGCTTCAAATCAAGTTTTGTGATCTAATGCTGCAATTAGCAGATCCTTGGTTTGGTTCTTACAATGACAGATTTTTTCTTTAAATGTCCTATGGGAAAAATAAAAGGTCAAAATTCTGGGAGCAGCTCTGCTGAAATAGTTAGGCAAAATGAATTTAAACCTGTGTTTTCTATCATTTTCCTTCAGCTTAGTCCCTCCTTTATCAATGGTTACTACTACTACTACAGCTGAATGAATCGCCAATTACTCTGGCAAATGTTTTACACAGCGGATGCTCTTTCTGCCACAACTCTTGTACACTCAGTGCTGGGAAACACAATCAACATGCAACATGCAAACTCTACGGAGAGGCCTGCTTGTCCAGCCAGGACTCAAACCAACACACTTTTTGCTGTGAGCCAAGCACGCTAATCATGTAGCCACTGTGGCTTATCTTCTTCTTCTTTGGCCTTAGTCCATATGATAACGACTTTTTTACACATTCCGGCCGGCCTGTCACCCTCATACACTGATACACTCATTTACTATGGACAATTTAGCCTACCCAATTCACCTGCAGCATGTCTTTGAAAAGTGGGGGAAACTGGAGCACCCGGAGGAAACCCACGTGAACGCAGGGAGAACATGCAAACTCCTCACAGAAATGCCAACTGAGCCGAGGTTCGAACCAGCGACCTTCTTGGTGTGAGGCGACAGCACTACCTACTGCACCACTGCTTCGCCCCACCCTGTTTCTTATCATATTCATTTTCTTTCAGCTTAGTCCCTTTATTAATCTGGACTCCACAGCGGAATGAATCGCCAACTTATCCAGCATATGTTTTACACTGCGGATGCCCTTTCAGCCGCAACCCATTACTGGAAAACATCCATACACTCATAGACTACAGCCAATTTAGTTTATTCAATTCTCCTATAGCGCATGTCTTTGGACTGTGGGGGAACTAGGAGCACCTGGAGAAAACCCACGCCAACACAGGGAGAACATGCAAACTCCACACAGAAATACCAACTGACCCAGCCAAGGTTCAAACCAGCGACCTTGCTGTGAGGCTATCATGCTACCCACTGTGTCACCGTAATGCCATATTCGTAATCAAAAACCGTAATTCACCGTAGCCTATAGTACTGTTTTATTTATAAAGACGCTATTATTTTTTACTGATATAGATAAAATATTTCTCACATTCTGAGGACACAAAATGTACAAATGTCACCCACAATCTTTATAAATATTTGATCATAATTTGTATTATTATTAGTTTTTAGTTTACATATTTGTAAACTTTTGAAATAAAACATAGAGATAAAACTACAAGGTCAATATTTCTAGCGTATCAAAGCCCTCTTTTTGTTCTTAAGCCTTAAGTGGACTCGGTTTCCCAGCATGCCCTTCTGTCATTGCACCGCCCTTGCTGGGGCGCCCCGTGGCTCGCGTCAGTGTTGCGCAGATTCGGTTTGAACCGAAAGCGGAGTGTGACCTTCCCGGGCGGCGGAGACCGGCAGGAGACCGAGCGAGCGGACCCATGTCAGCACTCCCGTCCACAACCCTCGCCACGGAGATGAACAGCAACTTAGCTGGAGATGAAATCGGGTAAGACACGATGTGTTACATGACACTGTTTGGATGTTTCACACTCGTCCCGTTCCAGCGAAGAAAGATGCGCAGCGGGCCGCCCGGAGGACAGCAGATACCAGCGAACCAGTCCTCCGCGCACCGCACCGCACTCACGCCGGAGCAGCAGCAAACTCCTTAAATATGTAGAGCACGAGGACAGCATGTTCTCGGTACATTTAACTGATTAGATGCTTGAATAACGAAGCAGAAGATAAACTGGCGAGAAGGATCAGCTGTCAAAGCTCTGATACCGGGGCTGTGTAGCACACTCTCTTTATTCTGCAAGTTTCTTATACACAAACAAGAGTATAATATCACTGTCTGTGTATAATGTAAGTTCTACAAACAAAAACTGGAGCTTAATATCCCTTTCATTCAATCTGTATGCTTTATTTTGGAGGAGTTTTTGTTATTATTTAGGTTTGTGATCACAAACCTGAGCTTTACATCACTCTTTTTATTCAAACAGTAATTTTGGAAGGTTTTTTTTTAATGCTTTAAAGTATTTATAATCTAACTAAAATAAGACTTTCTCATGCACAGTGTTATCCTGTGACCAAGCCTGCAGCAGATGACATTAGATTTTGTTAACCAGCTCATTCATGAGAAGCTTTCGGAGTGGGTCTGGATTATTTGACTGTATGATTATGACCCGTTAAACCGCACAGATCAGTCAGATCAGGCTTCCAGTGCCAAGGGCAAACGTGTTTTTTTTCCTCCTTCACCTTGACTCATGTTGGTTTCTGAATGAACATGAATGCATTATGACGTTCCCTCATCTTTCTGTTGCAGGAAGCTGTTTGTGGGTGGACTGGATTGGAGCACCACCCAGGGTGAGTGCAATCATTGTGTTAAAACCTGATGGTTTCATAGGTAAAGTTGGTTCTATATTCGCACATTCAGACTTTCCCCTTAATAATATATATTCATAAATGTGTTATTTGCAAACTCTAAATAGCGAAATCATATTAGCAGCAAATGACTATCAAAATACAACATTGCTCACAGTCAAATAAACAGTATTGTTGTCGATTTCAAGTCATGCATGCTAGTTCCGATCGAATATTTAAAGTAACATGGCAAACAATATAGAGACTTCTAAATGAACGAATGTGCGAATATTAAGCCAACTTCACCTCTACTGGTTACATGCCGTAGCATTAGTTGCAATGTAGATGCTCTTAAATAATGCACGTGTGCACTGCAAGCCTGTATCACTGTAGTGCGTTTTATTTCAAGTCGTGTTCTGCACTTCTGGAGATAATATTCTCCATAAACCTAGATATCAGCTCAGCATGTTCTGAGTATTGAAACCAGGTTGCCGCTGAGGGGCTGAGCTTGCCTTTTCAGTATGTGGGTGCATGTGAGAGAGCCTGGGTTAGACGCAAGCAACAGAAATCAGATAAAGCCTGTATCAAATAGCATGTGTACAATGCGATGAAGAAATCAATGGGAATTTATGTAGTGTGGTGTGTGTGTTTTAAAACTCTATTTTTAATACGTTTTCCATATAATATCACCCTCAGTCAGTCACACTTGTCATGTTTTATGTGATATTTATAATTGCCTTTCATGCTTTGACATGTTGCTGGCTGCATAAAAACCGAATAGTAGTAGAATTTTGACCTCTGGGAAAGCCAAGTGAGATGTTTGTAGTGTGTTGGAGAGCTGTACTTGTGCACACATGACAAATCTTTTGCTAAACCGAGATGTAACTAGGGGAGCGCGGGGCACAAAGTAACGCAGGGTTAAATGTAACACAGAGTTTTAAGGTATTCGCTCAGGGTTGACCATGGCATGCTTCAGAGGTTTTCACCACAGTGTCAGAAGACGTCTTCCTGTTAGTTATTGAAGAAGGGCATAACTGGGAATAGCACACAGCCAGGAACTGTTTCTAATGACAGCTCCAGAGCTGTAGTTGCGAGTGCTCAAGTTTGCGAATGTTCATTGGAGCGACGGTTTTGGGAAACGGCAAATCAACAAACTATGTTTGTAACGACGGAACTTGCGACCTTAGTTGGCTAACGATGGTTTTGGGAAACAATCCTTGAACGGCAGTGTACCAATTACAACCTGTTATTCAATCGTTTGCTGGAATTGTATAGATGCAGTATTTTTTACTGTACACAAGTAGATAGATATGCTAGTAGATACTCAATTTTTCCAATTTCGCGCAGCCCTAGTATGAACGCATTTGATGTAATTTGAATGAGAAAGACAGGAGAAACCATTTTTGCAGCATATAAGTATTTTTTATTAGTCAATATTTTTTATTTTAAAAATATCTGTAAAAGTAAGAACGTAAAGTCTTATATTGTTGTGATTACCGTCTTCTAGTCTAAAAGATGAAACCATTTTAAAAGATGTATCAAACGCACAGTGACTGCTGGCCGGTTTTGAGGAAAACAGGCCACTGCGGGGTTAGTTGTAACAGGCGGTTACAAATAAGTCACGCAATGTTGGACACCAGCTAAACTAACAAAATATTGTTTGGATTTTGAGTGTAATCTTTAAAACTTTTTACATAAAATGTTTTTAGTCACGTTTTACAATAAAATTTATTAGTTAATGTTAATTAATGCATTTACTAAGATGAACAAACAATGAACAATACATCTACTACTGTATTTATTCATGTTAGTAAACGTTAGTTAATGAAAATACAGTAGTTCATTGTTAGTTCATGTTAACTCACGGTGCATTAACTAATGTTAACAAGCATGGACTTGAATGTTAATAATGCATTAGTAAATGTTCAATTATGATTAATAAATGCTGTACAAGTGTTGTTCATGATTAGTTCATGTTAGTAAATGCATTAACCAATTAACCTTATTGTAAAGTGTTACCATGTTTTTAATAGAAAATATTTTTAATCGACAAAAAAAAAAAATGTTTTATTGCCAATACTACAAATAAATGCATTGTATAATAATGGATAATATTCTAAATAAATCCAAATGTGTTTATCCGATAAATAAATGAACATACTGTGCTAGGTAGAATTGAAAATAAATTGAGATAAGTACTGAGGAAATACAGCTACTGTTTAAAGTAAACTGGATTTAAATTACTTGTGTGAAATCTGCCTTTTAAATCACGTGTTACAACTAACCCTCTATCTGTTACAACAAGTGCATAGAAACCAGAAGTCCGGTGATCATACAACCAGTGCTCATTTGTAGGGGAGGCTTATGTGTTGTTGGTAAAAAACAAATGGTTTGTCTAACCCCAATACTTTGTTCATTATTTAGCCAAAACCAAAAAGTGTTACTTTGTGCTGTGCTCTCGCCTACAGTAGTGGTTTATAATTGTTACACTGCCATTCAGGTAGGTTGAAAAATGTATCTGAAAGAGGTTTCATACAGCTTTAAATAATTGGAACGTTTCCCCCTGCCACTATAAGGAATTCACCTTTTTTTTATTAATAAAATATATTAATCATGCGTTCATACTAGGGCTGCACGATATTGGAAAATTGCGTATCTACTGGCATATCTATCTACTTGTGTACAGTGAAAAATACTGTATCTATACAATTCCAGCAAACGATTGAATAACAGGTTATAATTGGTACACTGCCGTTCAAGGATGCATTTCCCAAAACCATCGTTAGCCAACTAAGGTCGCAAGTTCCGTCGTTACAAACATAGTTTGTTGATTTGCCGTTTCCCAAAACCGTCGCTCCAATGAACATTCGCAAACTGCGTCGCAAACTTGAGCACTCGCAACTACAGCTCTGGAGCTGTCATTAGAAACATAGTTCCTGGCTGTGTGCTATTCCCACTTATCCCCCCTATGCCCTATTCATTTAGAACTTTCTAACATTCAAAGTTGGAATTATTAAAAATAAAAAAGGATTAAGGTCATCTCCCTCGAGTGTAATTTGCTTTCAAACTATTTTTACAGTTCAGTTTTAGCGATCTTCATGTTTACAATTGTGCTCCCTTCGCAGTGCACTTTGAAAACATTGATATCATTTTTGAACACCGCCTCATGGCGAAAGCTAAGCTGTAGGTGACCTATTATTATTAGGGATTATTATTATAAAAGAGGAATTTATGTAACGTCTCCAAAGCTTGTGAAAACAAAAAGCATGCATTAATTATTTTAATTTATAGTAGGTTATTTATTAAGTATCTGTACTGTATATGACATGGACCTGCTGGTTAGAACTTTCTGCTGTGGTTTACAACTGTCAAATTGTAAAAGTAGACTTAAATAAATAAACAATACCCTACCTAATAATACTAATAATCATCATCATTAATATTGTTAATATTATTATTAAATTGTTTTTTTCATTGTTAACACATAATAACAAAATAATAATAATCATCATCATCCTCATGATCATCATTAGTATTATTAATATTAATATTATTAAATTAGGATTTTTTTCTTTTCCTAATGTTTAATAAATATTAAATTTCATTTCTTAATAAATAGCCTCATTATTTATTTATTCATATGATTGATATATGATATTAGAATGTATTTTTGGAATAGGAGATGTCATATTCTCAATTTTGTAAAGGAAACATAGGCTCTATATGTGGCATTTACATATAATTCGGTTAATATGGAAAGCGAGTGCGTGATTTTACCAAAACTAATATCGGACTTTTTTTAATTGCCTGTTTGTGTAAAACAATATAATTTGCACAAAGAAATGATGGGGTTCTTCTCTAATGATGTAGTTCCTCCGCCCCGTTCAGAGCGTCATTGTGGGCGATTTACGTTATAACTAACATGGTTTAAGCGATGGATCTGCGACAGAGAAACTTTGCGTTTTGGGAAACACTCGTCTCTGCATCGTTCTTTTCCCAAACGATGCATCGTACTATGATAGCTCAGCCGTGAGTTATGTCATTGTTTGGGAAATGCACCTCAGTTTGGTGTTGGAAGATGTATCTGAAATAGGCTTCATACAGCTTCAAACAATTGCAAAGTTTCCCCCTGCTACTATAAAGAGTTAATCGTTTTTTTAATAACAAAAAATCATACAAGGGCTGCACGATATTGGAAAAATTGCAATATTTAGTCTTTCTGTGATATATATATATTGCAATACACTATCTATACAATCCTAGCAAATGATTAAAAAGGACTATTTGGAAAGCGTTTTTGGTTACAATTTATTTTAAGGTTCAATTCTCAGTCTTAGCAAGTCATTAACTATGACTTTTGCTTCAAGAAACACCTCATTTGCTCCTTATTAAGGTAGTTTAGGAAGTGGGTAGGAGAGATGTAGAATAAGATCATACACTCAATATATATATATATATATATATATATATATATATATATATATATATATATATATATATATATATATATTTTTTTTTTTTTTTTTTTTTTTTAACTTGTTCAAACTACCTAATTAAAATGAGCTTAAACAACACAATTCTTGAGATTTCATTTGGACAACTTAACTTTTTTATGTTCAATCCACATAAATTTGTTAAAAGTGTTAAGTTAACATAATCAATTTTTGTTGGGACAACATGAATGAATTATGTGAAACCCTGCATTTATTTTTGTACAGAATATGTGCTTTATAAGTACTAATAAGCAGCCAATATCTAAATAACCTAGGATATTTGCAGAGCTAATGTTTCTTTTCATACTGATTTATTTCCGGTGAATGGTTAAAGTGACTTTTTTCCATTTTAGAGCATTGATGTTGAAATTTCAATGCTCAGCTAGGCGCGTTGCATGCGCCGTGGGTCACGCCGATCACTTGACGCAGAAGTATAAACCAGGCTTTACACTGCATGTCTTTGGACTGTGGGGAAAACCACGTGAACATGGGGAGAACATGCAAACTCCACACCAGCTGCAGACCCACATACGTTTTAGGACACAAAATCCAAGAAACACGACCTAGGCAGGGACAAACCGTGTATGCTTAATTAAGTTTAACGATGACTAATCAACACCTACTGAATTTCACGAACATGGCGATCGAGACCGTCTGTGCTACGATTACTGTTCATTAGATTGTGAACAGTTTAGTGTTTCCCATTTCAGTCATTTCATTATTATATCGTAACCATTTTAACATTTGTGCAGTTTTATTACTCAAATTAAAATAAAAAATTACTTTGTCTCGCCTAGATCATCTCTATCTGCATATTTTTGAAATAGTGTACACTATTGTCTATTGGGTACAATATTTATTAACACTATATATAAACATATATTAATGACATCCATCATAACCACATATGGTTCGTCCCTTCCTAGATCATGTCGCCTGGATTGTGTGTCCTGAAACGTGTGTGGGACTGCATAGATATTATTGACTGGTCCAGCCGCGATTCAAACCAGAGACCTTCATGCTTTGAAGCAACAGTGCTAACCACTGTCCTGCCCAACTCTATTTTTCATTCATTTTCTTTTCGGATTAGTCCCTTTATTAATCAGTGGTCGCCACAGCGGAATGAACCGCCAACTTATTCAGCATATGTTTTAAGCAGCGGATGGCTTTCCAGCTGCAACCCATCACTGGGAAACACCCATACACACTCATTCACACATGTACACTCTGGCCAATTTAGCTTAGCTTTAGCTCTTTGGACTTGTGGGGAAAACCGGAGCACCCGGAGGAAACCCATGCCAACAGGGCCAGAACATGCAAACTCCACACAGAAATGCCAACTGACCTAGCCGAAGCTTGAATCAGCGACCTTCTTGCTGTGAGGTGATTGTGTACCCACTGCGCCACAGTGTCGCACAACTCTATTTTTTATGTAACGTAATTTTTGACTGAGCTTTCTGAATGTGATCCTGTCAGAACACCATCAGTTCAGAACCCCTGATCATCATGTATTTAATGCACCTTTTGGCTAACTGTTTCTTTCCTTGTTTTGTTAGAGACTTTACGAAACTACTTTTCTCAATACGGAGAGGTTGTGGACTGCGTCATCATGAAAGATAAAAGCACAAATCAGTCCAGGGGCTTTGGCTTTGTGAAGTTTAAAGACCCCAATTGCGTACGCACGGTCCTGGACACCAAACCTCATAACCTGGATGGAAGAAATGTGAGGAAAATGACTGATAAATCACTCTGCCTAGTCTTGAAAATTGCATCGCATTTAATGCACTTAAAGACATCTGCTGCTTGTGACCCTCAGAGTCAAGAACTTCTGTTCTAATGGCATAATGGTTTAGATGTTTTTTTTACTGAGTAAGTGCTGTCTGTATATTCTTGTAGATCGACCCAAAGCCTTGTACACCGAGAGGTATGCAGCCCGAGAAGACCCGGACAAAAGACGGCTGGGTAAGGACTTAAAAATGTTCAGCCACTTTAGTTTTTTTAATTTAAATGTTTGATTATTAGAGTCTGAAAGCTATTTAAAGATATTCAATTTTATTTTTTAATACATTTTTATTTATTTATTTAAAAAAATATATTCTTTTAAATTAATTTAATTTGTCATTTGTTATTTTATTTTATTTTTTTATTGGATTTTTTTATTTTATTTAATTTATTTATTATTTGATTTAATTTTTATTTATTTATTTATTTTATTTTATTATTTTATTTTTTTATAAATATATTTTTTCCATTTTATTTTTTATTTTATAAAAAAAATGTATTGGATTTTATTTATTTTTTTATTTTATTTGTAATTAATTATTTTAATTTTATTTTATTTTATTTTATTTCCCCCAGAAAAGCTAAAACATTTTGTGTGTGTGTGTTTTTTTTTTTAGAAAGGAAGCAAAAGTGACAGTAATAAATCTAAGAAGATATTTGTGGGTGGAATACCTCATAATTGCGGTGAAGCTGAACTCAGGGATTATTTCAACCGATTTGGAGTGGTGAGATGGACACAGATGCAGAAATGTACCATTTGTCTTCATTAAGACTGTGATGACTCTCATAGAAAAAAAATAATCATAGTATTGTTATACAGTGTTCAAAAGAGCATATGAAGAGTTCAGATTCAGTCTGGTTTAAATGCTGTCTGAAACGTTCTTCTTGAACGGACACTTTTCTTAGCCTCATATGTTTATGTTCAATTATTTCCCTTTAAAGGTAATGAAAATAATCCATTAATTGCTTTAAAAGGAAAATCACTAAGCCTACCCACAGGAGACTGAGAAAAATGCTCATATTAGAAGAACATTTCAGACGGCACTTAAAGGTTTTTGCATCTGAACTCTTTATTTACAGTGGAGGTCAAAAGGACCTGATCGTCAGTACGGTCCATGGTACATTTTGCCACACATTTAGACCCCTCTGTATAAAGTATTTTATATATGATGCCGTTTTGCTCTCCATTTTGTCCTTCACGGGTCCTGTTCTCCTTTTGAAGGTCACAGAGGTGGTAATGATCTATGACGCAGAGAAACAGAGGCCTCGAGGTAAACCACACATTCATATTTGCTCCCATTCAGTCTCTCTCACCTCATCCGCAAGACAAACTATTCCAACCCAAAGAGAAGCGAACATCACGCAGGCCATCCGTCAGTCCCTCTCATGTGTGCACCATGCTTGGTTTGGTGCGTCTCAACTTTTGCATGGTGGCAAATCAGCAGCATCCACATGGCACGCCGACATTTGCATTAAACATGCTCAGATAATGCAGCTTCTTGCAGATCCACTTGTTTTTAAAAAGAGTAGTTCATCCAGAAATTAAAAGTGCTTTTTCCTTTATTTTATTCAAACCTGTTTGCTGTTCTTTTATTTCTTTTAGAAAAATCTTTTTTTTTTTTTTGTAATTACAGAATTGGAGGCACTTCTTTTAAAATGATGATTGTACATGCAGGGGGTTTATTAAGGAACTTAAAGAGCACCTATGAGCCACATCATCTTTTGTAAGCTGTTTGGACAGAACTGTGTGTCTACAGTCATATTGGAGTGATATAAACAAAATAAGTCTCTTTTTTTACATTTCCTGACATTAAAATAAGATCCAAATCTCTCCCATTTTGAGGCCCCACTGCAAAATGACTCACAAGTGTGGTTTCCTCGCCCACTGGTTTGATTGACAGCTGTGTATTAACATGTCCCCATAGTAACATGTATAATCATATCAACAAGACAGGACGTGCGCAAAGCAACCAAGATTAAAAGATCTGTTCAGCTGACTGTGATCATCAGTCATCATCAAATGTGATCAAGAATGAGTATATAATGTTTTTACACCGGCATGTCGATTTTTACCGTCTTTATCACCACAGTCGCATGTCAGGACAATTATAAAAGAAGACGATTCAATCCCGTTGATTTTGTTCATTAATGTAAAGGATATCTTTACAGCAGTGGATATTAACAAGTGTCCTGTCACCTTTGCTGTGCAAAAACAGTGCAAAGTGTGAGTCATCAAAGGCTTGAATGAACTCCACATCAAATAATCATTGGGAAAGTTCTTACTGTGGTATTTCTCACAAACGTTACGTGAGATCTGCTTCCTTCATGTCTGTCACTGTGCTGCTTATCTGACGCAGCCGGAGATTAACGGTGGGCTGGGAGAGCTAGCATTAAAGGCACAGGCAACAGAGCAGTGTTCAGAGCAGAAAAATTCAAAATTCTGAAAGGTATATTAAATAATCTGATGGGTGTTTTGAGCTAAAACTTTACAAACACATTCTGGAGACACAAAAGACTTTTCTTAAATCTTGAAAAGGGGTAAAATGGGTGCCCTTTAAAGTTCATTAGCCATTTTAATGGTGCATTTTAAAAAATGAAAAACAACAATAGATTTTGCCTTTGAGACTAAAAGATCACAACTACATTAGCCATGAAAATTCTGAAAAAAAATCAATTCAACATTTTTTACTAAAAAAAAAAAGTATTTTTGTTTGTGTCTTGCATTTTAATAGAAAAATGTTTGACAGAGTTTATACTTTTCTTAAAGAACTCATACGACTTGAATTCCACGGTAAAAAATAAATAACAGAACAACATGTGATCATTATATTTTTGTAAACACTTTAATAGAGCCGTTGTTTTATTATCCAGCCATTACCTATTCACCATAGCTAGTGTTGGGGGTAACGCATTACAAGTAACATGAGTTACGTTATAATATTACTTTTTTAAAGTAACGAGTAAATTAACGCATTACTTAAAAAATTAAGTGATAATATTTGAGTTACTTTTCTAAAGATGTAACTCAAGTTACTTTTTAGATTAATTACTACACTTTTTTAAAAATTTTTTGCTGAATTGAAATCAGTGTAATCATGTTGAATCACAGTCATTGACTACGTTTACATGGACATCAGTAGGGTCAGACAGAATCTGCGGACATTTTTGCTATTTCTGCTGAGAATTTTGTAAAAAGTCTGAGGAATTATTCGTATCATAACTAAAACCTTAATATATATGAAATAAAAAATAATAGCTTTTTAACTTGTATGCAATGTTTACAATGCAAAATTCAATTAGATCCACTTTATTTGGTAAACAAAGCAAGTCTCTCATATAATATATCCACTAAAAGAAAGTTAATATTACTTTACAAACTGTATTGTAAATAAATCAAATTAACACCTACTAATGTAAATAATATTTCTGAAATGATAAAAAACAGAATAAATTTGCTCAGATTTACACCATAAAAAAAAAGACTCAATGATGGGGATCTCTGCGCACAGATTCCGTATAGGCCTAGACATGAGTAATCGAATCATTTGCCCTAATCTGAATAAGACAATAATATGTTAAAGGTGTTTACATGAGTTGCTTTTTGAATGTGCCTTTCATGATCCCGTTTTACACGTTATAGCACATAGATCGATTAACGTCATTGCATCACTGCGCTATCCACATTTCTTCCAGAGTTTCATGTAATTTAATAGTTTGGGGTGTTTACACGTTTGTACTGCACTTCAGTATTCAATCAGAATACTCAACATGTCTTAATTTGATTTCTGTTCAGTTCGATTATGACTTTAGTCGGATTAAGATAATCATTATAATAGTCAAAAGATCTTAATCGGAGAATTGTCTTAATCATGTTTAAATGGGTTTATTGGTTAGTTATTAATTAGTTCAGACAAAAACCAAGATGGCAGAGCCTTACATTTTTGTGATAGAAGTATTGTCATTTTTTGAACACATAAAAGAAAAGGGGATTATTGTCTTAATGAACATTGATTTTATATACGGCATGTACAGCATCAGGAAGTTCTCAGAAGGTAACATTATTCTAACTTTTTTTAATTATTATTTTTTAAGGTAAATGAAAGTGTAGGTTATTTGTTGTGTTGTTAAATGCAGAGCTCCTCTATTTAAAAAAAAAAAAAAAAAAACACCCTGCAAGTTCTGAAAGACATCAAGCCTCAGGCAGGTATGAAAAAGTAACGTAATGCATTACTTTCCATAAAAAGTAACTAAGTGACGCAACTAGTTACTTTTTTGGGGAGTAACTCAATATTGTAATGCATTACTTTCAAAAGGAACTTTCCCCAGCGCTGACCATAACAGTCCATAACAGTTATCTAGTAAAATGGACTGTGGCACTAACATGATTCAATGTGAAACATAGCCCTCAATATAACTGAAGAAATAAAAAGAACAGCCTTTTCATTTTAAAAAACAGTAGTGTTCATGCAAAGTTTGCAGTGTAATTTTGACATCCGCTCCAGCCATGTTCTTTGTCTCCCAGAAAATGTTTCCACCTAAAATGCTTCTGACATTTCACTCTCGTTGGGTTCATGTGGAATGGTTTGTCTTGTGAACATTTGCAGTTGTCTAATTAAATTTCAAACCACTAAACCTAATTCCTATTAACCTGTAGACATATTTAAGTAAGTTTTTTTTATGCATATTGATATTTTATTGATCTACAAAAACTGTGTTTATTGCAATGTAGTGCATTTAAGTAAGCCTTTCTATCTTTCTTTTTATGTCCCTGTTTTCCTTGTCAAGTGTTTGAATGCATTAACGTTTTTCCTGAGATATGTCTGTTCTTTCTTGTAGGATACAGTACAGATAGTGGCACCACACAGATTAAGGCCTGGTGTGAAACGCACTCATGTCTGTTTCTCTGGTGTAAACACGGTTAATGCTTCAGCTTGCACCCAGCTAAACACTGCGACTCGTCATTTTTCTTAATGGTTCCTGTTGAGAAATTCAGTGTTAAAATATTTAGACACTAGAGTCAGAGTTTTGTTCTCAGTAGCTGTATGTTTTAAGGTTGGGCGATGACGAGCAATTTGGCATTGTACAATGTCTAATGTCGTCGTAGGCGGCTATGAATTTTTATTATTGGATAATTAATTCATATAAATAGTCTATCGTTTCAACTATCTGACCTGCATGGTCTTTGTTTTACCGATAACCAAATCATAAATAAATAAAGATAAATTACACACAAATTACCACCTGTCAATCACTTTTTCTGTGGGACTCTGACATGAATAGGCAGAGTCGTATATAATGGCGTCAACAAACTTGGTTGGTAAAAAAGGTGCACAACCAACAGTATCTGAGGTTTTCACTAACATTACTAAGTACAAGCGTAAAAGCGAACAATTGAAGCAGTGTACTGATGCTGTAACACATTACCTGATAGATTAAAAAGACAGAAGAGTCGCTAAATATCACGTTTTAACAAATATAGTGAGACGCGATCCAGCGGTACATCCTTGATAAACTGTCTGACGTGCACTGATCTCTGGGGTTTTGTGCTCAAAGCACCCGCTGACTGCTGGAGCTCAGACTCGCTCGCACGCTGCAGAGCATGACAGTTTTTGTATGTGTGTGTGGTCAAGTGAAAAGCGTTTTCAGGGCTTTTCAGAAATTCTAGGTGAAACCCCAGTGTTGACGAGGATTGTTTTCGTTCTAAAATGCCATTTTAAAACTAAGACGTATTAGTGTTAACAGTGCCGTGTGGATTTTTTGCAAGCAAATTACTGCTGCGACGGGGGCGGAGGATCGCGATGCCAGCTCAGAATCGTGTTGTCTATCGGCAATCAGCGATCAGTGTTGCCAACTATTCCCAATGAAAAGTACTTAAAGCCTGCCTGAAAAGTAGCTAAATGTTGCCAGATGACATCACACGGTAATTTGCATATCAGTGACGTCATCACATAGTATCTGACAAGCGTCAACCCGTCATGACTCTGCTCTCTGAGGCTCTGAGGCGAATATTAGCATATTTCTTTGTGTGATGACGTCATTGCGTAATCGCAACTCAAAACTACATCTTTATGTAGTATACAAAATAATTCATGTTTTTTTAAATTGACTAGGCGTCTCAGAAAAAACATTATTTGAAATCTGTCCATTTAGATTTTTATGTAAAATAAAGTTGACTGTTTGTAAAAGTAATACAAACACCTTTTGAGCAGAATTTTATATTTTTAACTATAAAACTGCTAATAAATAGTTTCATTCTTTTAAACAATCACAGCTTGTGCACTTACTCTTTTTAACTTGTGAAATTAACACATTTGACATTTGTGAAAGTGACAACAAATTTAGCACTATTGGAATTTATTGCTAGCTAAATTACCAACAATTATACATGTTAACAAATATCAGTAAATTAACAGTTATGCAAAACAATCTGAGCTTGCAATTTACTCTTTTAAAATAGCTAAAAGTAGCCAAATTAATGGTAAAAATTGCTAAATTTGTTGCTAGGTGATTTTTGAAAAAAAAAAATGTTGCTAGGGTTGTATAAAAAAACAAGATTGCCAAGTTGGCAACACTGTCAGCGATGGACGTTGGCATTAACTTATCTTCCCAACCCTAGTATGTATGCAGGACTCCCTCGAAATATATTTGACTGTAAAAGGGATGGCTCAGGACTAGTTGTTCATCTAGTACTCTAGTGTTTGGAAATAAATTAAGAGATACATCTTCATGGAGAGGGTTTTAGAGTGCTGTGGATTAGCTTGAAATACTTTCAGCATGGTGAAACACTCTTCATAAGGTTGTGTCTCTCAATTCATTCCACTTTAAGGGAGAATTCATCCAAAAATGGTCATTTCCATGAGCACTGCCATCATTTACATCAATTCTACTCTTCACTTATTCCAAACTTAGTCGATTTTCTTTCTTCTGTTGAACACAACTGGTTGCTGGTACTCGTTGACTTCCATATTAACTGTTTTCCTACTATAGACCATTTCAATGTGGTCATGTCATTGGCCCATGAACATTTCCTGCTTGTTATTGAACTATTTCATAACTGTAACAAGAGGCAATTTAATCATAACTTAATGTTAAAGCAGCTATCATAGCATTATTTATTAATATGAGTCTCTTTTTGGATTCTCGGAAGCTATAAAAATTAAAAATGGAATACAGGAAATACATTGGGACCATTGTTTTGTTTACATCCCTCAAAATGGTCTATTGAATCATTCTGTGCCAGCAAACTTTCTTCTTTAAGTGATCTTCGTTTGTGTTCAACAGAAGAAACGAACTCTTGAAGGTTTAAAACAACATGATGAAGAGTAAATGAGTAAATGATTAGGTCATTTTTAGTTTTGGGTGAACAATCTCTTTAAGGAAAAAGTTGCTGAAGTATCGTGTGCAACTTCATGTCCTATTAGAAGTACATCTCAGCTACATCTTGTGGCATGAAAACTAATAATAGTTAACGTTTAAGTTGGACATTTGTAAGACAATTAAGTCAATATGTAGTGCAGATTACCCATTGGCTAGCCAGTTTTGATCAGATCTAGTCTTTAAGAGGAAGAAGCACTTGATATCGACTTCTAAAAGCCCCTTTAAGTGGCAGCTTTCTACTTTAATGAAACTAGGCCTGATGATGAAGGGCAGGTTGGATATATTTAGTCCTCATTTAGACGGATGGTTCTGCTCCACATAGTGTATGAATTCTCAGATCTCTTCAGTCTCAAAGGACGTGCAATCGGAATCAGGTTAGATCCCAAAGTGGAGATTCTCGCAGCCCAGTTCTGCCACAGTTATCTGATCTGACAGAAACTAGTTCACACTGGTGGACCTGGCACAGCTAAACTCAGCTGCTGCTGGAGGATTGTGCTCTGTCTTATCGCGTAAGTGACCTTGGATTCGCGCTCCGCTTCAGCGGCCCACTTTGATAGTTCTGCATGCGCGACCCCTGCACGCGCGGGTGCACGCAGTCGCATCTTTTTCACCGTCCCCGAGTCTCTGAGCGGGTCTCTGGATGAGCATTAACTGGGCTTACACCACACGAGAAACTGGGCTGCATTACATGTTTCACAAATATCCTTATATCCCTGTGGTGCTCTTGTTGCAGCGTTATAATCTCTGTTCTCTCGGTTTGCCCAAAGTACTAAGGCATTTTGGGAAGCTTTGAGAAAAGCAGCTGTAGTTGTAATGATCATTCTTGTTATGCATTGATAACTGTGGTTGCTGCTCGCATTTGTTGTGTAAGATCGGGGTGGTGATGGAAGTGAGGTTCAGATGAAACGTGAAAGGCAGAAATATGCACGTGTCTATTCGAAAAATTAAAAACAGCGAGGATCCTCCTGTCATCAGCACGCTTGAGGTTGCATAAGACCTCAGTTATCAGACGCCTTCGACAGCTGTTAATCATTCACTATGTTCAGGGTTAAAGTATCGCAGGATAATACGCAACGCCTCTGTCCTTTCGGCCTCCACCTGTGATCTTTCCTGGTGACTCGGGCCGCATTGTCATCTGAACCTCAGGGACCCCCCACCCCATCCCTCTTATGTTCTTCTAGCTGTTCTGTCCCAACACCCTGCTGCTCTGTTGACTTTTGGTCGTTGGCTAGGTTTTGGATTTATTACTTTCGAGGCCGAACAATCAGTGGACCAGGCTGTCAACATGCATTTTCACGACATCATGGGCAAAAAAGTGTGTAGTTGTAGTTTTATTTTCCCCTACAACAGAAACTAAAGCTTGGGCGACCAAACATATGTCAAATGTCATCAAATGTCAAATGTTTTCTTTCTTTATGAACGAAAAACAGGATTAAATATTAGTCTCCCAATCAGGGGGAAGTTTACAAAAGTTTAAAAAGTATAAGTTATTTATTGTGTAATAGTTTTTACCATGTTAGTCACCCAAGGCTTGGTTCATTTGAACCGCTCCTTTAGGTGCTGTAATGATGTATAAAGTGACTTACCTTAATTAGCACTCATTAAATTAATAGCATACTTTGCTATCATTATTGCATTATAAAGGATCACCACATCAAAATACAAAGGGAAATTTCAAGCATTACATCAGCACTCACCTAAAGAACCGGTTGGTTTCCTCTTTTTTTTATTTTTTATTTTGTTTCCTTTCTTTTTTCATTTTATTCAGGTTGTTACTGTCAGGTCACTTACTATTTGAGCTCTGTAATATCCCAGAAGGCAAAGAGAAATCTCAATTAAGTGACCTCAATATGCGAATCTCCATACTGTGTCTGTTAGTCCACTTGATATGGGCTTTGGGTGGGTACAGGGCTTTACATTAACACCACCAAATGCGGGTAGATTTCAGCTTTGGCGGGTTAGACAGCCGCTCCCACTTGCCACTTTGGCAGGTTGGAAATAATTTTTACATTGTAGTTTTCTTAAAGCAGGGTTCGACAACAAGGATGGCCCAACATGCGTGCAAATGTGATCTTAGAATCGAGAAGCAAAGCAGGTGAATACCGTATAAGAGGATGATTACTCGCGCCCACAGGTGATGTGATGTGATGCGCGCGACTGTTAAAAAGCGTGCGCGCTCCCGTTTACTTGCGCTTTTTTTCGTTCACTTGCGATCGGTTCTCTTTGAAACAGACTAGACAAAAAACGATGCTCGCGTGTATCAGCAGTCCTGCTGCTTTCAAGAGCTCAAGATTGAAATATATATATATATATATATATATTTGTAAGCAACAGCAGCAGTCAGTGCTTTTGTTTTAATTATTCTTAAGCACGTGATCATCCTTTCATTATCACACATGGTACGTTTTTACCTGCTTTCTTTTGCTTACAGTTATTTTTGTTAATATAGTTGAATTATCATCCTTTACAATAACATTGCTTTAATAGGAGATTAACTCCCCATTTTTGTGTAGTAACTGCTGATCTAGGACCTTTAGCCAGGACAGATTACTGTGCATATTTTAGATACATGAAAATAGATCTTTTTAAATGTTAATTAAAAAAAAAAAGAAAAGTTTTGTTGTAAAAAGGTATGTATACAGCTATATATTTGCTTGTTTTGACACATTTAAATATGTGGCTAAGAAATAATTCTTTCTTTTTGGTGTGGTTAGAGATGACTTTGGTAAAACCTTTGTTCTGAGCCCTGAAAAGTCATGTGAAATAAAAACCAATTGCAATGCGACACAACACATTTGTTCATGCACAGTGGGCAAGCTCATACACAACACACACAAACAGTGAAATGAATGAGGAGGAATGTGGACAACACAACATCTAAATCAAGTCATTTTAGCATGTGAAAGTCACATTTATTTATATAAAATATATTTTCCAAACAACAAAATTATGGCTAGTGAAAATGGCTAGTAATGTTGGAAATCTACTAGCCACAGTGGCTGGTGATCTAAAAAATGAATGTAAAGCCCTGGGCGGGTAGCAGAAGTCTCTGTAGCGTTAGATTATTGTCTGATACTTAGGTGCATTGGTCTGTTTTGCGGGATAGCGCAAGGCTGAACGAGTCGCATGACGCGTTATCTCACCTCACCAGCTCCACTTCGAGAATCACTCCCAGCATGGCCTGTTTGACGAAGTTCATATAACTCTAGCATTCTCACACATTTTGACTAATATGAATGCGAAGCCAATCGCAGAAGAGAGTCTTGGACTTTCAGCGCTTTGTCTCCCGGGGCATTTCCTTGCTCTGTCATGACTGCACTTTGCTGATTTAAAGTGGAAAAACCTCTTCCAGCGAGTTTGTTTGAGACTCCAGAATAGCTCCGCAGTTTCTGTCCTACATTGAGTTTGTTCTTGCCTGCCGACGCTCTCCTTGACTCGGCTCTGCGTTCCTGAAGGAATCAGGTGCTACGGTACCTGGGCTATTGTTCTTCTCGTGACATTTTTTCATTGGGGTTTTAAGGGAGGTGGGGCTATACGTTATAAAATTAGAAACTGGAGCATATCAAACTGTGTACCAAATCCCAGCTCTGCTGTTGGACGCGGAGGCTTGCGCGAGGCCTCCCATCACTCTGAGCAGTGATGCCCGCGGGAGTGGGGGGGCCGTGCTGCCGATTTGAGGGTTGCAGACCACTCGCTCAAACTGATACCTAATTAGGTCGACAGTGAGAGAGGAGGAGAGAGAGATGAAAAGCGAGTCATTACATTTATGCTGCTTTCCAACGGAAAAATATTGTCTCTCGCTCTTGATGCAAGGTGACCCCAATAACTCACCCCCTTTAGAGTCTCAAGTCTATTTCTGGATCTCCACTTGAGCTGAAGTGAAACTTCCCTGCGTGTATTAAACTAAGTTTGTCCTTTTTTTTAAATCAGTGTGGCAGGTAATAGAATCCCATTGACTTAATTGGGTAATTATATAATTAGTGTTAATTAAGGGCATGAGTCTTTCTCATTTTGCTAAACATAGGATTTCCTGAATCTTAAGGAGATTACTTTGAAAGTGGACCTTTTGTGATCGTCCATGCTTTATTTTTATGAGCTTGTTTTTTATGACAGATGAATAAAAATCTTCAGTGTTTGGACTTTCAGCAGTGAAAATTAAACCGCACTGAACTGAACTTCAACTGTGAAAACTGGACTGACACGGTATCGATTTACTAGAACTTCTGTTTAGCTACTTTGACACAATTTACATTGTAAAAGGGCTGTAGAAATAAAGATAAATTGAATTGAAAAAATGTAAGACAGACCCGTGATGCTGTCTTCAATCATTAGGATGTTGAAATCTTTCCCGTTATTTGAATCAAAGGCGAGCTTGCATTCAGATCTGCCTTGTTTGATATATTTGTTGCTTTCGTTACACCGTGACTTTAAAGGGGTTTCATGGAGAATCAGGAAACTTTTTTCATTGAAGACTCGGTGGCTGTTAAGTGAACTGGAGACCTCAACTTACCGCTTACACTAGTCTGAGGGAAACCTGTCCTTTATCTGTTGTAAAAAGACCCAAAACTAATTTATTTTAGTTTTTTTATTATTATATTAATGCTTTTATTTACTTAAATTTTTTATTTTGGTCAGATAAATGATTTATTTTAATCAAATTAGTAATTTATTTATTTATTGTATTGCAATTATTTGTTTGTAATTAAACCACATTTTTAATAATTATATATATATATATATACTACCGGTCTAAAGTTTAGGGTCAGTAGGATTTTTTAATGTTCTAAAATAAGATTCTCCTGCTCACCAAGGCTGCATTTATTTAATCAAAAATACAGTACAAATTGTATAATTGTGAAATGTTATTGCACTATAGAATATCTGTTCAAAAGTAGTTTATAATTTCATTTAATAATTTATTCCAGTGATTTTAAGATTAATTTTCAGCTTCCTTACTCCAGTCTCAGTCTTCAGTCACATGATTCTTCAGAAATCACTCTAATATTAATATTTGTATATTATATTATATTAATTATTATTTTAAATGTATTATTATTATTGTTGTTATTATTGTTGTTGTTAAAAAGCAATGACTGGAGTAATATTTTTATTTGAAACTACATACAATAAAAAAGCAGTTATTTTACATTTTTATAAATATTTAGCAATTAAATTTTTTTTTTTACATTTAATAAATACCGCCTTGATGAACAGAATGAAAAAGCATGAAAAAAAAACTGATCCCAAACGTTTGACTGGTAGTGTAATTCTGTTCCAATTTTGATTTAATTGTTTTTTTGTGTATTTGTCTTTTAAACTAATATGTTCAATCACCCTAAAATAGTAATTAATAAATACAGTGATCAGCATAATTGAGTACAGCGAAAATGGGCAATGTATTTTTGTGCACTTAACACTTAAACAAAAGAGATTCATTATACAGATATAGTTATTAAAATAATATTTTCAAACATCTTTAGAAATTGAAAGATAATACAATTAAAGTCAAGCAAAATTTTGGAAAAAGACATTAAAACCTATAAAATTTCAATCAAATTCTCACTTTTTTTTTCTTCTCTTTTTTAAATTTGTATTTATTATTTTTCTATAGCATATACATTTGGCTGTACTAGTTTCTGGACCGTTATCGTAAGTTATTTTGTTAGATAAGCTCCAGATTTGGCTTCAATACTGACCAAACTATTGTATATGCATATATATTATATTGTATAGCTTCCTATAGAAAATATTGCTTTGAAAGATAGATTCGTCAGGGGTGTACTTGTATATGCTGAGCACTGTATATCATATTTATTTATTAATTGCTTTATTAAAAAATGTTTATAAACCCTAGTTTGAAAGTCGCTGGATTAGAAGTGAAAAGACATTGGAAGCAACTTAGCAGTAAAATACTGATAATGAACATCCAGTAGAGGCTCTCTTTAGGCAACAACTTCCAGAGTCCTTCACAAAAATATCAGTATTTTCAGTGGAGCTTTTGTTCTAGCCTGTTGCTAATGACGGCGCCTGCGTTCAAGCGGTCTTTCGTATCTTTTTACGCTTTAACATCTAAATGAATGCCTGAATCTAATTAAGTGCTTATATTTTTATTACACTACAACATCGATGCTGTAAGAGAAACATTATGAAATTGAAAATGTTTATAAAGATTTCACCAGACGTTCATCATTGGCTGAAAAACACTAGCTGTGCATGTAACCAATTGGCCATAAAAAAATGGCCAAAAGAGAGAATACTGCAGTCTTCGTAGTGGATTTTTAATCTGGGACTGTTAAACAACCTCAAAGATGTGCCTAACACAAAGAAAACTTTAACAACCGTGTAAACCACAACACCATAGCATTAAGTGCAAACACAATCAAGCCATTTTAATTTCACATGTGACACAGTATGAAGATTCCTCTCTGATTAGATGTCTCCATTTTTTATTTATTTGCATGTTTAATTATTTGGTACAGTTAGATTATCATACATCATTGACCCTTATGTTGTGATTGCCGTATCTAAAGTGAAGTTCTTAAGCATTAGCCAGGGCAGGTAAGTCTTTATTTTCTATTAGCAGTTTAAAAAAGCTGAGATATAAGATATATTCTAAAGGGATGACGGTGTTTCTCAGGTACGTCTGTGCACATAAAACGTATATAATTATGAAATATGTATAAATCTAAAGTTTAAGCAGGACTCATCCTGCCACATCTGACCCATAGGGTGTTAGTGAGTAGTACCTAATGTGAATTTCATAGCCAAGTACCTGAGAAACATTTGATAAAGTTAATAAATAGTCCAAGAATATATAATTTGTCTGGACTCCGGTCATGTATTTGTGAGTTAGAGTATAGTTTGTGAGGTGAGGGCTAAAGTTTGTGAAGGGAGTAGGCAGTATGTTAATTCCCTCTCGCTAGTTACGACCTCTTGTCCTTTGTGCAGGTTGAAGTGAAGAAGGCGGAGCCTAGGGACAGCAAAGCTCCCGCCCCTGGTCAGCTGGGAGCCAATCAGTGGGGGCCCCGAGCCATCATAAGCGCAGCCAATGGCTGGGCAGCACAACCGGCCCCGACCTGGCAGCAGAGCTACGGGCCTCAGGGTGAGTGACACTGTGGGCCAGAACTGTGGCAGCAGTAGCGTAACATGCCTCACCCTGAAAAATGATACTGAGAGCCAATGGATATCAGTGACGCTTTGCTGTAGGTCAGCCTGCGCTGTTTGTGCCATCTGGATAAGCCACAGTGGCTTTGTCCACTATGCAGGGGGGAACATTTTCACATTGATCTCACCCAAAATATGAGCCTGCTCTGCCTGGCGCGAGTTCAGAAATGTCATGCTTTAATTGAACGCCTTCTGGCTTCACCCCCATTAGATGTACAATTCTGAATGCGTTTTGAATTCACAAGTGGTGTACTTGAGTAATAGTGTGCTGGTTGTGACCGATATTCTTTGTCTCTCTCTCTCAGGTGTTTGGGTGTCTACAGGTCAACCGCTTGGTATGTTCTGTTTTAATATTACGGTTTGATTTGGTTGTATTTGGACATTGTTTTATTTGATGATTTTAAAGGGCACCTATGGGGAAAAATCGACTTTTCAATCTATTTGGACAAACATATGTGTATATATAGTGTATAGACCATCATATTGGGGTGATACAAACACACCCAGTCCTTTTTTTTCAATTTAACAACATAAAAACGGTGGACCAATTGGAGCGGTTTACAGACCGACCGCAACTTTACGTAGGAGTGTGGTCCCCCCGCCCACCGAATTGATTGACAGCTACGCGCATTAACATGTTCCGGTAGTCGCGTGTATATGTCAACAAGACCAGGCAGACATACGCAAAGCAACCGGGAATAAAAGGTCTGTTCTGTTCGCTAGGATCAGCAATCACCATGATTAAGAGTAAGTTTCACATGTTTAAAGTGTTTTAAAACAGAGTATGTGTGTAATTAATTACAGCAATATACTTCAGCTTCACTTCATCAGCACAGCCGCGTGTCAGAACAAGTATAAAGGAAGATGCTTCCATCCCGGTTTGTAGACGTTAAATCAGGTTTATTTTGTACAATAACATAACAGATATCCATACAGCGGTGGAGATTAGCCTGTATCCTGTCACATTTGAGTGCAAAGCTAAGCGCGCTATATCTATCTATCTGTCTGTCTGCCTGCCTGTCTGTGTGTGTGTGTGTGTGTGTGTGTGTCAGCGTGTCAGCTGCGGTGTACGTCTGTATCTGTGTGTGTGTGCGCGTGTGTAAACTTTGTAACAATATTGCGTGTAACTCATCAATGCAACTTTAAACAAATACTGATTAGTAAAGTTCTTACTGTAGTATTTCTCACAAACACTACGTGAGACCTTCTTCCTTTAAGTCTGTCTGTTGTCTGATGTGCTTTAAGGAGATTAAAGCACGCGGGAAAGCATGTAGAAACAGTGGGCGGGAAAGACTCGTCTTAAAGGCGCAGTACGACAAAACCACCCCCTGCTGGAAATCAGTATAAAACAGCATCTTGTAAAAGGTATAATGAAAAATCTGATGGGTGTTTTGAGCTGAAACTTTATATACACATTCTAGAGACGCAAAAGACTTTTAATAAATCTGAAAAAAGGGGTAACCTAGGTGCCCTTTAAAACTAAACTGATTTGAGTAGTTTTGGAGAATTGTATAGTTTCGTATTATTTAGAGTTTTTCTGAAAAAGTCTCACTCGCTGACCAGAGCTTCATTGATCAAAGCATTAAAGCATTAGAAAATATTATTACGATATAAAGTAACTTCAGGGGTGTCACGGTGGCGCAGTGGGTAGCACGATCACCTCACAGCAAGAAGGTCGCTGGTTCCAGCCGCGGCTGGGTCACTTGGCATGTCCGAGTTTGCATGCTCTCCCCGTGTTGGTGTGCATTTCCTCCGAGTGCTCCGGTTTCTCCCACAGTCCAAAGACATGTGATAGAGGTGAATTGAGTGGGCTAAATTGGCTGTAGTGTATGTGTGTGTATACAGAAAGAAGAAAACAAATAAAAACAGAACACAAATAAAGGTAAAAGAACACAAATAAAAACCTGTGGTTTTAAAACTCAAATATTCCTATATTACCGATGTCTTTTTTTCTCTCGTTATCATCCCTCTCTTTTATGTTTGATTGTTTTTATTGTGGGCTTTCCACATATTTCGGCTGCGCAATTCTGATTAGGCAGAACGAAAGTGTGCTCACTCAATTGGCTAGTGAGACTATCACACACAGATAACAGTCACGCATTTGCTCGAGGCGGGAAAAAATTAAACAACATATTTCATATCGCAGCCTCTTGCGATTTAGCTATTCGCAACGTTGAAATTGCGATTCGATTTTGATTAATCGCACAGCCCTAGCGTGCATGTGTGTATTATTATATATTTATTTGTAGAAACTATTTGGTTAATTGGATTTTTGTCATTTTAATTTTCTGAATAGGTTTTTCAGAAAACTAAAAAGGTTTGGTGTTTTGTTGTGTGTGTAGTGAAGAAAGTTATTTAGGGAAAAAAATTATTCTTGCTTTGCATTAAAGGGCACCTTTGATGAAAATGAACTTTTGTAAGCTGTTTGGACAGAACGGTGTGCAGGTATAGTGTGTTCACAGTCATATTGGCATGATATAAACACAATAAGTCTCTCTTTTTTAATTTCCTGATGTTAAATTAGGATCCAAATCCCTGCAATTTTAAGGCCCACCACAACATTACGTAGGAGTGCAGTTTCCCTGCCCACCGAATTGATTGACAGCAGTGTATTAACATGTCTCCATAGCAATACGTATAATCATATCTACAAGACTGGACTTGCGCAAATCATCTTTGATTAAAAGATCTGTTGAGCTCTCTGTGATCTTCTGCACCCCAAGAATGAGTTTTTCAAGTTTAAAATGTTTTTTAAACAGTGCATGCTTGTAAGAAAGGCAGTAAAATCATTGTAATTCATCACCACAGCTGCATGTTAGAACAATTATAAAAGAAGAAGTTTCAATCCAAGTTTGTGGACGGTAAATCAAGTTTATTTTGTACATTAACATAACGGGTATCCATACAGCAGTGGATATTATCGTGTATCCTGTCATACTTGCCATGCAAAAACAGTGCAAAGCTAAACGTGTGTGTCTGTGTGTGTGCGCACTTTATAACGATATTGACGATATGACTCATCATTGCAGAAAGGCTTGAATTAACTGCACAACAAATACATCAAATAAGCATTGGGAAAGTTCTTACTGTAGTAAGGGAGATTTGCTTCATTCTTGTCTGTCACTGTGCTGTTTATCTATGTGAAAGCTACACAGAGCAAGACAGAGAGATCTCTATGGCTCTGGCATGCATGTGGGAACGTTGGGTGGGGATAACCAGCTCATTTGCATTAATAGCTACAATGTCCTAACAGCTTGAATTTCCCAAATTTAGAAAGGTATAATACATAATATGATGGGTATTTTGAACTGAAACTTTACAAACACATTCTGGAGACACAAAAGACTTCTCTTAAATCTTGAAAAAGGGGTAAAATAGGTGCCTTTTAATGCACAGTGGACTTGAAGTGTTTTGACTTAACAAAATGTTGTGTGAAATGTACAAAACCCTCTCTGTGTTTCAGCAGGGTATGGACCTCCTCTACCCGCTGGCCGTGGGGCACCCGCACAAGCTCCTTCTCCATTTAATGCATTTCTAGTTGCAGCGCCACCTACAGGAGGGTTCGGGGCGCCTCAGGGATACCCCCAACAGGGCTTTAGCACGCAACCTCAGTTTGGTAGGTCGAACTACTTACTTGGGTTTGCATTTCTACCACTAGCTAAGTTTCCATCCAAAGTTGCACAAAATTAAAATGTTGCTGACCATTTCTGTAAATCAAACACTGTTTCAAGCATAGAAGAATCATTTTTTGGTAAAAAAATGCACAAATGTACACTTACCGGCCACTTTATTAGGTACACCTGTCCAACTGCTCGTTAACGCAAATTTCTAAGTCACATGGCAGCAACTCAATGCCTTTAGTCATGTAGACATGATCAAGACAATCTGCTGCAGTTCATACCGAGCTTCAGAATGATGATTAAAGTGACTTTGAAAGTTACATGGTTGTTGGTGCCAGACACTGTGGTCTGAGTATTTCAGAAACTCCTGATCTACTGGGATTTTCATGCATGACCATCTTTAGAATTCACAGAGAATGGCCAGAAAAGAGAAAATATCCAGTGAGCGGCAGTTCTGTGGGCGCAAATGCCTTGTTGATGCCAGAGGTCAGAGGAGAATGGCCAGACTGGTTCCAGCTGATAGAAAGGCAACAGTAACCCAAATAACCACTTGTTACAACAGAGGTCTGCAGAAGAGCATCTCCGAACGCACAACACAATAATCTTGAGCAGATGGGCCACAGCAGCAGAAGACCACACCGGGTGCCACTCCTGTCAGCTAAGAACAGGAAACGGAGGCTATAGTTCGCACAGGCTCACCAAAATTGGACAACAGAAGATTGGAGAAACGTTGCCTGGTCTGATGAGTCTCGAATTCTGCTGTGACATTCAGATGGTAGTTTCAGAATTTGGCATCAACAACATGAAAGCATGGACCCATCCTGCTTTGCATCAATGGTTCAGGCTGGTGGTGGTGGTGTAATAGTGTAGAGGATATTTTCTTCGTGCACTTTGTGTTAATTAGTACCAATTGAGCCTTGTGTTGACGCCACAGCCTACCTGAGTATTATTGCTGACCATGTCCATCCCTTTATGACTACAGAGAACCCATCTTCTGATCCAGCAGGATAACGCGCCATGTGATAAAGCGTAAATCATCTCAGACTGACTTCTTGAACATGACAATGAGTTCACTCTACTCAAATGGCCTCCACGGTCACCAGATCTCAATCCAGTACCTTTGGGGTGTGGTGGAATGGGAGATTCACATCATGGATGTGCTGCCGAAAAATCTGCAGCAACTGCGTGATGCTATCATGTCAATATGGAGCAAAATCTCTGAGGAATATTTTCAGTAGCTTGTTGAATCGATGCAACGAATGATTTAGGCTGTTCTGAAAGCAAAAGGGGGTCCAACCCGGTAATCAATAAAGTAAATAAAGTGGCCGGTGAGTGTATGAAGAAGTGTGTATGATGACTTCATCTCTTCTGCACTCAATAATCAATTGTAGAAGTTGTAAAGTTGCACCTCAGAGAGTCGTGCAGAAACAAATTCTGTCTTGTTATCTTGTGTTTGGAGGCAGATTCTGATGTTAAACGAATGTGAAAATGTTTGTGTAAGAAAGTTCTCGGACCAAACTACAAAATTCAACGGGATCACCAGTTAATCTAGTTATCGAATCACATCATTTGTTGATTCACTTCATCTAACGATTTTTTTGTTTGATGTGCATCAGTGAATTTATTCAGAAAATCTTTCCGTTGTAAATTATACTTGTGTATTTTGTATGATTAATAATATATCAGATTCAGTTATGTGCATGTATTATAATGGGCAATTCTAGAATTTATTTGAGTGTTTTAATGGTGGATGAAAACATAGCTAGTGAGAAACCAAGTAAAATCAAGTATTTTGTGTTTAACATGTACAGTGCTCAGCGTAAATAAGTACACGCCTCACAGATCTCGCTTTTAAATGAATATTTTCTATAGGACGTAAAGACGCTTTACAATAATATATTTGCACATATGTATTAGATTAAGCTGTACCAAAGCCAAAACTGGAACTAATCGAACAAAAAACAAGATCATGTACACCTAAATGAATATATTATAAAATCTGAATGATCAGCAAAAATCAAGAGCAACTTAATTCAAAACTTAAAAATAATTGTAATTTAGTTGAAGTTTTGGAGTTTATAATAACTGGTTTGAATTTAAATGTATTATCTTTCTATTTCTAAACATGCTAGGTGATCAAAACCTCTTATTGTAATGAATATAACTCTTTAGTAAAACTGTTTTATTTAAAATATATATACTACGACATGGATAAAGTTATTCATTTTCTATTCAAAACCAGCAGATTATACAATGCTTTTCGCATGTCCTGTACTTAATGTTATTTGCTTAATAATTAGGGTCGCACAATATATCGGCGGACATATCAGTATCGGCCGATAAATGCTATGTTAATGTTGGCGTTTTTGATCTGATATCAAAATTGTAATATCTTTAAGGGGATAGATTATGTAATTGTACAGTTTTAAAGTTAATTAAATTAAAGTTAATTAAATCTTGTTTTGTTATTTATGTGAAGTTTATTTATAAACTAATTTTGAGAGGATCACGTGATTATGATTGAACTCGGCTGGTTCTGCGTTAGCATGTATGATCCACCAATCAGGCAAGTCCTTACCCAGTATAAAGAGCCAGGGTTTCTCACTACAGCCATCTTCGATTTGAAGAATCCCTCCTTCCACCCCTACTTCTTCACATTTCCCTTCATAGGGCGCTACAGTGGCCCAGTGGTTAGCACTGTTGCCTCACAGCAAGAACATCACCGGTTCTAGTCCTTTAACAGGCTGGCGGTCATTTCTGTGTGTAGTTTGCATGTTCTTCCCGTGCTCGTGTGGGTTTTCCCCGGGTTCTCCGGTTTCCTCCCACATTCCAAAAACATGCACTACAAGTGAATTGATCAATCTGAATTTAGCACTACGGTCAAACTCTCATCCTGCAGTTTATCTCTTCATAGCGTTCATTTTAGTCATCAGCTCTTATCAAGGGGGAGTTGTCGAGATCTACCTAAGCTCAAGGCTCCCCTCTCACCCTGCAAACGGGAGGGAGCCCAGGGCTCAAGGACCATTTGGGCTCAGGGCTCTCTCCGGGAAAGCATACCAAACTTGCTTATAATCAGTCATCAGCAAAGTGTGAACTCTTGAACCTATTATTTTTATGCATAATGCATAAACATTCAAGTTTATTTTTGGCATGCTGATTTATGCAAAATAGTGAATATAGGTCTATATAATCACCTCACAATTTTGAAATTATTAGTTTGAGCAGGCTATTCAGTTCATAAGATCCGTTCAAACTTTTAAGAAGTTTTTAAAATAAAATTAGTTGTTCATTGCAAAAAAATAAAACATTTTTAAATGTCTATATTTATCGGCTAAATATCGGTTATTTTGTCCTCCGAATCTGAAGAGTTATCGGTAGGCCCACACGGAACCCAAAGATTTCCGCTGGTTTTTAGCCCACCGTTTCCGCTAAATTCATTCTTCCATGGTGGGACGCCAAGCCAAAATTCATCCCGCCACTGCTACATTACAGCTGATCATTCAAAACATTTAATTTTTTTAATAGCAGGTAATAATCGCACCAAAATGTATTAAAGGGTAAATGAATTATAACAGCGCAAACTTTTCTGTAACTGTAGTAGTGCTGTGCGTCATTTGTTTAATCCAGTTAAGGTTATGCGCTGACAGACTAAATGGCTGGCTGACAGGTGCGTGATACGTGAGGCCAGCAAACACAACGTATAGCCATTTCACTTTACTTCAGGACGCATTAATGCTACCCTGTATGTCTATTAGAGACATTCATAAATATTCATAGCAAATCTAATAAATACTGGAGACATACTCGTTACATAAACGCACTAAATCGCACTCGGCAGCGTTTATTTGAGAGCGCACAAGAAGAACTGCACGCTCTTGAATCGGCTTATATTTGAGGGAGCAGAGGAAATCGGCGCACAAGCAGAGATTCACATGCTCGTACTTGTAGGTTATTAAATAAATGCGATCTCGACTTTTAATACTGTGCTCACGACATTTGTCATTGAAATAACGCCACAGGTATTTGGTAGATCTGTGTAAAAAAATAAAAATAAAAAAAGGCCTTCCGCCACAGCTGGAAAAAATCCTAGAGGATACACTGTCGCCCATCATTGAGTCTATGTATTTACTTAATGTACTTAATGTAAATGTGTGTAAATTTAAATTCATTTAGTTTTTAAATTTATTTCACTGATATTTTGTGACATAATAATAGTGATGTTTTTAGTAGATATATGATAGACTTGCTTTGTTTACCAAATAAGTGGATCTAATTGGATTTGCATCGTAAACATTAAACAAAAGTTTAAAAAAAAGGTATTACTTTTTATGTCACATATTAAGTTTTTACTTATGATACTTTCAAAATTCACATAATCCACAGATTTTTTACACAATTCTCAGCAGAAATAACAAAAAATGTCCACAGATTCTGTCTGTCTCTAGTTATCGGTTATCGGTATCAGCCCAAAACTTCATATCGGTGCGCCCCTATCAATAATAGTACTAATAAAAAAAGATAATAATTTTCAAAAGGTGGTGTACTCATTAATACTGAGCACTCTAATGATGCAAACGAAGTGAAACTTTTAAAGAAATGTAACAAAATTGTCATGATCGCCACATTGTTGTTTTTTATCTTTACTAACACAGGATATAGCTTTGGAACACCTCAAGGTGACCAGTTTGTAGCACAGGGAATGCCTCCCCCTCCCGCCACGCCGGGCGCAGGGCCTTTAGGGTTTGCTCCTGCAACGACTCCCTCTCAGGACCTGAGCAAAGCCGCCCCAGCACAGCCAGATTTCTCCTACAGCCAGTATGGTAAGAGTGCACTAAAACACAGCCCCAAACCACCGCAGATGTGCTGTAGCCCATCACAGGGCTTCTGCTTCTTGTTCACGTGTCTGAACGGGCATGGTGGCATCACATACACATGCTTCCACACTGACCCCCACTCTGTTTGCCCTCTAGACTTTGATATGTGCTGTCTGAGGGTTTATCCAGTTCTATATGTCAATTAGATCATCCTGTTCTGCAATGCTGCTTTTGACCAGTTGCCGCTTCATCTAACGCAGGCCAGGGTTTTCATATGTAGATGTTGCAGTGATGGATGGTGGGGGTGCCGATGGGAAGTCAAGTCAGATTTCATTGGTAGATTTAGACATATATTGAGACACACACACACACACACAACTCTTGATGCAGTTGTCAACAAAGTACTGACAAAATCTGGAGCATCCGTTAGAGACTTTAGAACAGGGGTCACCAATCTCGGTCCTGGAGGGTCGGTGTCTCTGCAGGGTTTAGCTCCAACTTGCCTCAACACACCTGCCTGGGTGTTTCAAGTATCCCTAGTAAGACCTTGATTAGCTTGTTCAGGTGTGTTTGATTAGGGTTGGAGCTAAAATCTGCAGGACACCGGCCCTCCAGGAACAAGTTTGGTGACCCCTGCTTTAGAAAGTAGAACTGACTTTACAGAAATAGTCACATACCCCCAGTCCATAGGAACAGCCAGAACTGAAAGCATCCAGAGGTCAGAGATGTGGGACAGGGTACTTTTAATGGTGCTAAAGCAGACATTATTGCAGCTATTATTGCCTCAACATAAAGTTAAAAGTAATAATGGCCCATTTTCCACTGAGTGGTTTGGTTTGGTGCGCTTTATTTCTGTTTCCACTATCAAAAGGTGCCAAAAAGCAAACCATATCGCACCACTTTTTGGGTACCCTTTCCAAAGGGCAAGTACAACAAAAGGGTACCAAAAGGCAGAGCTAGACACACTGCTGAACGCTTTTGGTGTACTGAGATACATCACTAACTCGGGCACAATCCAGGAGAATGAAAACAAAGCAACCGCCATTTTTAAATACACAGCCGACACATTAAACCATAATAACATATACATATAATAACATGCCATAGGGCTGCTCGATTTTGTTAAAAATCATAATCACGATTTTATTGGTCATAATTGTAATCACGATTATTCAAAACGATTATCAGTTGAAGTCAAAATTATTAGCACTCCTGAGAATTTTATTTTTTAATAAATATTTCCCAAATGATGTTTATCAGAGCAAGGAATTTTAACAGTATTTCCTCTTATATGTTTTCTTCTGGAGAAAGGCTTATTTGTTTTATTTTGGCTAGAATAAAAGCAGGTTTAAATATTTTGAAACCCATTTTAAGGTCTATAATATTAGTCCCCTTAAGCACTATACTTTTTGATTTTCTGTAGAAGAAACTACTGTTATACAATGACCTGCCTAATTACCCTAATTAAGCCTTTGAATCGCTCTTTGAATCTGAATGCTTGTAGTTTGAAACACATCTAGTCAAATATTGTGTACTGCATCATAGCAAAGATAAAATAAATCAGTTATTAGAAATGAGTTATTAAAGCTTTTATGTTCAGAAATCTTCTTTCCATTAAACAGAAAATGGGGATGAAAAGGGTTGCTAGTATTCAAGAGGGCTAATAATTCTGACTTCAACTGCATATATTATTTTCCACCCTGCAAAGAGAAACAAATACAATAGAATACAAAATATGAAACAAACTGCTTTAGGCATCTTCACTGTAAGAAAAACACTTTAGCTACAAAAGTCCACAGAAATGAGGGATTTTCTCGTTTTGTTTGAATAATGATAGAAACAGGCGGCAGCAGGAATATCGCCCTGTCACTTTAATGGTTTCTCTTTCACATGTCTTTTGATCCTCAACTCGCTTGTTTATTACACAAATGAGGGTTAATATGAATAATCACTAAACACCGCGTTTTGACCCCCAATTGACCATTAAAGCGCTCACGTTAAGCACGTGCCGCACACACAAACACACGCAGAAGCATGCGGCCTTTCGCGCTTTTAAGAGCAACACATGTACAACTGGAAAGGGGGCGGTATATGATGCAATAATCGTTTATCTCGATTAATGGTTTTTCATAATCGTTAGAAGCCAAAATCGAAATCGAAATTGGATTTTCGATTAATTGCACAGCCCTAACATGCCATGGTCGACCTAAGTTAAACAGACCTTGTTGTCGTCTTGATGAACAGCCACAAAGCCAAGAAGAAGAGCAGATGCTATCGTGTGTCCTGTTGTTGTTTACAACACGAACGGTTTCACTTTCTTTAGAAAGCTTGCATGCATATGAACATTGCATGTTCCTATATTTGAAATAAGGAACTTCTTGAGCTGATGATAATAACGTGCGCATGATTATTGAAGTACTTCTGACATCAGATCCTTTCAGAAACAGACAGACGCCAGAGTGAAGGGTGAAAAAACGAAGGAGAAATATAAAAGATGAACAAATTGCCATGTTTAACTATTATCATCACCTTATGGAGTATTATGAACTCTGAATGACAGAATTACTCTCTAACAGAAGCTACATGTTCCGGTGAAGACTACAGATACATATGAGAGGTTTGGGCTATATGTTGCCTGTTTTAGTACCCAAATAAGGCCTTAATGTATGCTGTGTGTAGTTTTACTGTAATTGGTAACATATCGGAGACTGTAAGGTGCTCTATGTGTTCATATATGTTGCATTTATTTATTTATTTTATATAATTGTAGACGTTACAGTAGGCTATTTCACACTATCATGCAGTTATAATCAAATCATGTTCATAGAAAGGTTAGTAATAAACATTAATGCAGAAGTATTTATGTGTATAAGGCATCTGTGAGCGACCCGTACAGCTTTACTTTCACATCTCCTCGAGCGAGAATGACGTCGACTGAAACTTTCTGTCGTACACGATGCCCATTGGTACCCTTTTGGCAGTGTAAATGCAAGGCTGATAAAGGTGACATGTACTGTAGCACTCAGTGGAAATGGGCCATAATTGATCCCATACTATTTCTACTAAAAACCTAAATCATGACCCCAGTAATAGTGTTTTGAGACTATGTGCTTGACCAGCTGTATAGGTAAATGCAAAAGAAAGTTCAGTCATTGTTTACTCACACTCTTGTTGTTCCAAACCAGTTTGACTTTGTTTCTTCTGCAGAATCCCAAAGATATTCTAAAGTGTGAATGTTGGTGGTGATTTAGGTCTGATGACCGCTGCTGACTATTGAACTGACCATAATTTAATGATTTGGATTTCTCAGAGTATCTTCTTAGATGTTCCACAGAAGAAGGAAAGCCATTCATGGTTGAACTACAAGAAGGTTAGAAAACTTTTTTTTTGGGATGAACTCATCCACCATATCATTCTAGTGGTAAAACCCATGCAGAACATCTCGGCAACATTGAATGACCTGGCAACCACCCCAAACAGCCTACCAACACCCTAGAAAAACAAAACTGAAATAATAATCACTCTTAGAAATTTAATAGCAGCGTCCTGACAAATATTAAGTACATCTAAGCCATTTCCTCAGTTAGTTGACGCTTTTATCCAAAGTTAAGTAAAAAGGAAAAAAATACGGCAGTCAGATGAAAGAATAACGTCAAATTTACTCTCAGCCCCTTAGATGCTGCATTACCGTACGTTCACACCGAAAGCGACGAGAGCATCCAAGGTCGCTCTGGCCACCCTGGCGACAATGCTGTCTGCCTTCAGCTCCGGCGGCGAGAGCGTCAAAACTCGCTACATTGATCTCGTATTTAAGGGGCCGTTGCAGCATTATCAGTTACATTCCTGCATAAATCATGCTTTCTGGCGTGAAAATGTTGCGCTCTTCTTATCAAATTCATACAACAATGGAAGATCAAGTTGCGTCTGGTGTGGCTTTGCTTTATTTATCTAATATGTGTCCATATGTCTGAAATATCCTGAAGCAGCTATCCGCTTGTTAAGTGGTGACGTGTTTGTGACGTATGTATACTGTTTCCGGGTCCAAGCCGCCATTCATTTGAGTGGAGAAATCATTCGTTTATGATCGTGTTTTATTCCTATCACACATTAAAGTTAATTTTACATAAAGTCATAGTGTACACAACAATCTTGCTGCATAACAAATACCAAAATTTTAACAAGTTATAAAACATTGAATCACTTTCTGGCCATCAGATATTAGGCATGGACATGTATATTGCGATCGTGACTTTCGAAAGTATTAAATCGCTTTGTAAACGTTTATTATTACCATTTCATGAGTCTCCCCATTCAGTTGAATAGAGCGCTTGGACCCGGAAGCCGCTTCGCGTGACGTCACACTTAACAAGCGGATACTGTTTTGTACTGTCACGTCATGTGAGTTTCCCGCTGTTTTGAGATAAATTTATATAACTTTAATGAACATCAGTAACTTATTTAATGCATGTTCCTGTAAAAAAACATTGTAAATCCGGCGACCGCAATAATCAAACCCCTGGGAACAACTGTGGTTGGAAACAAAGTTCACATGTCTGTGTTCTCTGAACCCCTATCAAGCGGTGGACATCTTCATTCTGATTGCTTGCCGCCGAACCGCGACATAGCTCATTACCATAAAGTTGACTTGATTTCAACTCTCCTCAACGCCCACGCTGGAGAAGACGCAATTTTCTTTCGACTTAAGCTACTTTCGGTGTGAACGTACGGTGAGAAACACCTCACATAAGCGGTATTTCGTTTTTTGTAATTTGACGCAAAGATTATATAATTCATACATATATCCATATAAATGTTCACATGTTTTTTTTTTTTTTAAAGTCTGAATATCAAAAACGTTCAAGGGTTTAAGAATATGATGACCGTTAAACGTGTTAAAGCAAGTCTTGCGAAAAGGGTCCATTCAATCATTCATTTTCTTTTCAGAGTAGTCCCTTCATTAATCTGTGGTCGGCACAGTGGAATGAACTGCCAACTTATCCAGCACA